GCGAGTTAAACAGAAATAAATAAGCTACGTCCTTCCAACGTTCCGATGCACGTCGAATATCAAGAACAAACGGAAACGATTATCGACACATCGAAATACATAAATAGAATAACGCAATCGCGAGACAATGTGTAATTTGCGTAATTAGTGAATTTTCCGCGTAATCGATTAGGCATGACAGTCATCAACGCCGAGGCAAATTAGATGCAAATTGTTTTCACTATTCTACCGGAATTCAAATTTTATTCAAAATACAAAAGGGAGAGAAATAGCTTGCAGAAATATTTTTATCGATTAACGTGTTTGCCTGTTTTTATCTGGGTTAAAAATAGAGTTTTAGAATTAAAAGAAGAATTATTAGGAAATGACAACGTAATAGCAGCACGCTGGTGAATACTGCAGGTTTTCCTGGGGAATATATCGACGCGGAAGAATGAGGACACAGTCGGAGAATTTTTAAATTCAGAAATTTTGGGATTTGCGAGTTTGGTAATTTTTTAACTAGGGAATTTGGAAACTTACGAAGCGTGAAAATTTAGGGAGTTTGAAATTTAATATTTTAGTGATTTTTGATTTTAGAAATTTGGGATTTGAGGGATCTGAAAATTCAGAATTAAGGAATTTGAATATTGAGAAATCTAGGAAATTTTGAATTTGTAAATATTGAAATCGGATGACACTGAAACTTAGATATTATCGAATTTAAAACATTTGCAATTTACGAAATTTAGTAATTTTGGAATTTGAGGATTTCAAAATCTAGGGAATTTTGCATTTGAGGCTGTTGAAATCTAGGGAATTTTGGATTTGACAATATTGAAATTAGATGGCTTGGAAACTTAGAAATTGTGAAATCTGAAACTTTTGATATTTAAAAAATTGAGTAATTTTTGAATTTGATGATTTTTAAATCTAGGGAATTTTGGATTTGACAATTATGAAATTATATGACTTATAAAAATTGTCGAATCTAATACATTTCAAATTTAAGGCATTTATATTTCATATTTATTGGAATTTGAGGATTTCAAAATCTAGGGAATTTTAGGTTTAAAAATATTGAAATTACCAAGTTATGGAAAAGTTTGGAAGTTATAGAAGTTAAAGATCTACACTATTTGGGAATTTGGAAATTCAAAATATTAGGAATTTGTGGTTTGTTAAATTTGGTATTTTTATAATTTGGAAATTTATGAATTTACAGATTTTAAGATTTTATAACTTAATAATTTGAGAAATTGGGAAATTAAATATTTAAATATTTGGGGATTTCTAGGTTTAAAAATATTAGAATTAGGGAATTTACGAACTTAAAAATTTATGAATCTTAAAATATTGAAATTCAAGGATGTGAAAATATAGAAATGTATATTTGAGTTAATTCCTAATCGATTCCAATGGAATTGAAATATGTTGTCAAGAATAACAGCCCAAATAATTTGAATTCTATACATAACCACCTTCCGACTTCGATTTCTAAGATACGATCAAAAAACTTGGGTTAAATTTACATAAGGAGTGCAGATATTTATGGATTATCAGGACACAAATACTGTGTCTCAATTTGGTACAGTCTAGAACTATATACAGTGATATCCGGATATATGACCGCGATCCACTATATTATATTATGTGAATTATATAAAAAGTATTCTTTAAAAAGATACAATACAATAACTAATTAATAATAGAATATATAACTGGTAATAAATATCCCTAGAGTTAACTGTTAATATGAGTAAGGAAAATTTACTGAGAATGTCATCTGTAAGTATATGCATATTTCAAGATCAATGTAATCAGTGGGAAAACCACTATTTTGAATAAGTATCAATTAAAATTATGATGTATTGAAGCAGACATATACAGAGTATATAGAGTGTATTGTATAGCTGGGATAAATTAAAAGAATTAAATTGTGAAAGGAACAAAAATTAAATATTAAAAAGTAATCATGAACAAATTCATGAATATTTTGTTTAATTACTACTACTCTTGTCATGAAAAAATGGCGATTTTTTATACGTTTGTCATGCATTAAAAAATTCATTTATAGTATTTAAAATAAATATTAAAATTTTCTACTGAAAATTTGTAAATTAAGGGATACCTAAATTTTTAATACATTAATAAATTTCTGATTTTAAAATCTGAAAATTCGAAAATCTATAAATATAAGAATTTGGGAATTTAAGAACTCAAAAGGAACTAAAAAATGTATAAATTTCTCAGTTCATACATTTGGAAATTTTTCTAAGTAAATTATTAAACTTAGTCCAATTATCAAAAACATGTCCAAGTTTAACAACTTAATTTGTAAATTAAGAATTTACGAATTAGAAGAACTACAAGTTCGTAAATGAAAAAGTTTTAAATTTATGGCTTCATAAATTTGAAAACTCTGTCAAAACCATGATAGCGAGGGGGGTTAATAAATGCGCCACTAATAAACATGGAAGTTCGTACAAAAGAAACTCTCTCAACCGACAATATAAATGTTGGCAATATAACGCTAATCTACTAAATGTAGCTTATAATTTTTGTATTTGATTGTCAAAAATTGGATGGGAGTATTCGTTACGGTTTTCTTTCTTGTACACCTTATTGCAGCATGCACGGTGCAAACGAATGCCCGCGAGCTCACTGCGGGCACTTAATCTACGCATCACCACTTTATAATACTAATTCACAAAGTTATGGTACGGGAATTCCCACCCAGTGCACTGTATCGTAAGCTCTTACATCACGCAAGAAAATTTCAAAAGAGCGGGAGATTATTTCGATTTGAATTCACGTACCGATTACACGAAGTCAATTCAAAAGACTTCGTTGCTGCGTGTTCTATGCGACCTTTCGGACGCGAAATCGGATTGTTGTATCCTCCACGAATATTTTTCATGAACCTTTGTACGATCGAGTGACGCTGAGTTAATTAAAATACGAGGTAAACGTAAAGGATAAAGTAATCAACTCACCGAACACTGCTGTGTAGTAAATTGTTCAGTGCGTAGCAAGCCGAGACAGCGTGTCGTTCGTTCAGCATGGCGTGATGTGTCAAAGACGCACACGACGTTTCTTCTTTCTTCAGGTTTAAACACGCGCGACACACGAACGAAGTATGTTCGAAACGAAAAGATAAACGACAAATCGAAACATTTCACGGACGCACACGTTCACGCATCGACAACCGCATCCACACACCTGACACATCATGCACGCATACACGTAGCATCGCTGGGAAAATCGTACACACATCAGGCACACAATCGCAGAATCATACGTGGTGCATTCGTGTATCGTCGGTAAGCCTAAACGGGACCAATGACGGACTTTTAATCGACGATTCATTAAAAACCAGGTAACCTGTACCTGTATCGAAACGAACGATACTGCGGCCCGTACACTATATACTTGAACGGAACGGCCGTGCGAGAAAAACGATTTTCAGGAAAGCCCGGTTTCCTGACACAAATTGACCGATTCAATTTGGAATGCGAATACATGAACGAAACGTCGTTTCGCCCTACTAACCTATGCGTTGTACGTCGACCGGTTGTCACGATTATTCAACGAGTTCAAAACATTTCCGCGACACTGACTCGTGCAGATATCACGACGGCTGCCATATTGGAATCTTATTCCGCGAGCCACCAACGAGATACTTGTGAAAGAGGGACAATCTTGCGAGATTTTGTTGGACGCGAAAAATTTGCACGAACCGCGCGCCCTCTTTGGAAATATCGCGATATTTTCAACAGATATGACTGTTACCTGCTAACCGATATACGTGAGAACGGTAAATAATTTATTGATTTGGAATTGTTCGCAGTGAATCAGCATTAATTATTAAACAAACGACAGAGTAGTATATCTTGTTCTGCTTATGATTTATTTGGGAGCAGTTTTCGTTGATACACTTTTTTACAGCTTTCTAGGTTATATTATTGTTCAGTGCCTGTTTGTACAATCTTTTGAAAGAATAAAAATTTTATTATTTTATTGTTTTATTTGCTACTTTATTGCTTTACTGTTTTGCTACTTTCTTATTTGATTATTTTACTATTTTACTATTTTATTATTTCACTATTTCATTATACTACCATTCTACTATAGTACTATTGTTTTGTACTACTTTCTTACTGCATTACTTTAGTACTATATCATTATTTTAATTTACTACTATATCAGATTACTGCTGTGCTGCTATACTGTTATGTTACTTTACTAGAATACTATTTTACTACTGTATGCTACATTTTTACTATACTACTTAACTACTACAATATTATATTACTATACTACTATAATATGAATTCTACTGTACAATTATTCTACTATTATTCTATTATTTTACTATACTAATGGTTTCTGTCACCACTATATATTTCTTATTATTCTACATTTATTACTATACTACTATACTATCATCTTTGTCATTATACTATTTTATTATTTTTTTTATTATTTTAATATTCTACTGTACCACTATACTGTTATTTCACTGTTAAATCATACTATTATTTCATTACTATTACCACTATTATTACCACTAATTATACTATGCAACTATTGTACTGTTCTACTATTACACTACAACTTTATTTCTATTTTACTGTTCTACAAATTATATTGTCGTTTCAAAAATTCAGTATAAATTTCGCTGACGTTTAAAAAAATTTTGCATATGAATTTGCAAATTTGGCAATTTGTCAACGATTTCCAAAATTTGTAAATTTAAAATCTACAATTTCATAGATATGTAAATTTGAAATTCAAAAAATTTCTTAATCCCTTAATTTAAAGATTTAAATATTTTTAAATTTCTAAAATTAAAAATTTATAAATTTAGATCTTTGTGATCTTGAAAACTCGCAAATCCGAAAATTCTTAAATTTAATAGATAATAAAATGATTACAAACGTAAATGCTCGTTGCCATTTTCAAATTTTAGCAACATTCCTTTATTATCGACAGCTATAACTGTATTGTTAACAGATAATACAGTTTTCTCTTTTATCACTGACACAAAATTTACAAAAATACGACCTTCGTTCTTATTGCGTAGTCCATGGTCAAATAGATTATGCGTAAATTTTTCCCGCGTTTCGAGCTAAAATTTTAAAGATGGGTGGTATAGATGCTACTGACGAGCCCATGGAGGTTGAATGTTTACCATCAACAAGTGGTTATGTTGATAAAAAGAAACAAAAAGATCTTAAAACAGCACATTTACCATGGTACGTTTTTATCGTTAATTAGAATGTCATTCATTTCGAAGTAAGGTTAACGTAGTTGAGGTTAAGTTTATGAATGCGCCGGTGATTTTGAAAGCAGCGTAAGTCAAGAAAGGAACAAAAATTCTTCTTGTTTTCGTATTCCATATTTATGTTATAATATTGTGAAAGAATCCTCATAAAATTTTAATGTTAAAATACAATATTAATAAAAGTTAATAACACAATTTTAATTATCTGTAACGCAAATAAATATATTGATTTTTTACTTGATTTGTTTAAGAAGTTTAAATATTATTAATTTTGGAAAGCTTGTTGTTATATAAGTTACTCATGAAATTTTGTATGGTAGATAAACAGAAATACACAAGATGTGCAAAGACGTATCTAGCTTTTGGGAAAAATATTGTTTAAGACACCTAAACACAATAACTTTATAACTATAAACAATAAATAATGTTTTAGGATTGAAAAGTATCGACCCCAAGTATTTTCAGATATTGTTGGAAATGAAGACACTGTATCCAGGCTGTCTGTATTTGCAAAAAATGGAAACTGCCCTAATATTATTATTGCCGGTCCACCCGGAGTCGGTAAAACTACAACAATTTTATGTTTAGCGCGTATCCTCTTAGGGCCTGCTTTTAAAGAGGCAGTATTGGAATTAAATGCTTCGAACGACAGAGGAATAGATGTTGTGAGAAATAAAATCAAAATGTTTGCACAAAAAAGGGTAAAAGATTTCATGTGTATTTTAGCCAAGATTTTGTTTTCCATGATTTCGTAATACATAATTTTTGTTTATTTAACATCAGGTAAACCTTGACAAAGGCAAACACAAAATAATTATTTTAGATGAGGCTGATAGCATGACAGATGGTGCACAACAAGCATTACGTAGAACTATGGAGATATACAGTAACACTACAAGATTTGCATTAGCTTGTAATAACAGTGAGAAAATAATTGAACCAATACAGTCACGTTGTGCTATGTTAAGATACGGAAAACTTACGGATGCACAAGTTTTAGCAAAAATACTTGAAGTGTGCCAAAAAGAAAACGTATGTAAGAACTTCTCATGAAATTTTTATGTTACTTATTGCAATTTTGTAATAATATTCATGAATGATTATATGTTTGAATAGGTTTCATACACAGATGATGGTTTAGAAGCAATCGTATTTACAGCACAAGGTGACATGAGACAAGCACTAAATAATTTACAGTCCACATATAATGGTTTTGGTCATGTAAATAGTGAAAATGTTTTTAAAGTTTGTGATGAACCTCACCCGTTGCTTGTTAAAGAAATGCTTGAGTTTTGTACACAGAGTAATATTGGCAAAGCGTATCAGGTAGAATAATTGTTAATTTTGTAAATTTTACAAATGTTGCAAAATTTACTTCAAACAATAGGTAGATTTAAGACGTATTTAATAAATATTAATAGGTGCTGCAGCATTTATGGAAAATGGGATATTCCGCGGAAGATTTAATCAGTAATATATTCAGAGTTTGTAAAAATTTACCAATTGATGAAACTTTAAAATTGGATTTTGTAAGGGTACGGTAACTTTTACATAAGTTTACATGTGAAAATTGTGTATTCTTGTAATATTTACACTTTATACTTTTCGATTTCAGGAAATAGGAATAACTCACTTAGGAATAGTAGACGGAATGAGTAGTTTATTACAATTGAACAGTCTTTTAGCTCGACTTTGTCAAAGAGCCAAACAATCTTAATAATAATACATAAGAAGTTGTCATTTTTAAAAATAAAGCTATTTGTATATTTGTATTATAAAATTATTTATTTTAAAGTATTTCACCCGAAGTTAATAGCGTCTCGAATAATCTTTATCCACCTATACGTCTCTATTTTTGTATTTCTCATCTTACATTTAGACTAGTAATCAAAAAAATTGTATTTCATCATAGATATTAATAATATAAAGTTCTTCATAATTAAACTTTAAATTGAAATTTACGTTCATATCAAAATCACGGCGATTTGATATGTAAAAGAAATATAAAGGATAACAGTTTATTGTAAGATAATTATTTCTAAAGTTAATAACATTCTGGAAGCTTCATTTTTACATGTAATTTACAATTTAAATTTTCGCGCGCGCTGCTTCAAAGCTACATCATCAGATGGTTACTAAGGGATCTATAAAAAAAAATTGCATATTTTACACTGTAAGGCATTTTTACGTTCAGTTGACACTCACAAATTATTCTACGGCCAGGATAAAACTCAGAAAAATAAAGTTGCAGGAAATTTCAAGCTTTATATTATAAAGCTTGCAAAATTACATTTTATGGACTTTGGAATACTTAGCCATCTAGCGGTGAAAGGCAATAGAACTTAATTTTAAGTACTTTACCTTAGTGAAATAACTTTTTCAATTTACTGGACAGTTTAAAGTGAAACTTCGGAAAACCGTCATATACCGTTATGAACCAAATTTTTGTAAATAAGCTCTTTTTTATAAAAGAAGATATCTGTGTGAATATTTTTTGGCGACTCGACAGAAAATTTTTTGTCATTCTTATGTCATTCCCTATATCATCGACGAGGTACAGTATTATCGTAGTCTACCAGATGGTATTTCCTCACTAAAATCACTTGCGAAGGTGATTATGTCTCATAGCTCAACCTTCCGCTCAACTTCGATCTCCAATAAAGTCAAAAAAAAAAAAACAGCTAAACTTTATTCAATCATTACTATTTTCCTTGGTTTAACGTACACTGATAGGTGGCATTACAGGTGCTGTTTTGAAAAGAATTCATTTAATTTTGAATATTCGAGTTTAATAGTCAATACTGTGCGACAAATTGATCCGAAAAGCAACATTAATTGGTTTTAGAATTTCTTATAAGTGCCAACATATCGGGAAAAGTCATACATGCACAAATTAAATTATAAACTTAGTTCCATTAGTTCACATTTTCTACCACTAGATGGCTGGGCACTTGAGATCTATAAATTGGAGCTTATATTTTCGAATATAATGCTTCCTACTTTTTGCAAAGTCATTTTGCCGACTTTGTCAAATCTGTATAACAATTTATGAGTGTCAACAAAACGTAAAACTGCTTTATTTTAGAGAAAATAGCATTTTCAGTTTTGATAGTTCACGTCTGGCTGCCAGGTGGCGCTACCTGTACTACTTTCAGACAATGTGAAAATACTTTTAAAATACTTGTACCAGTGGCATTCCCAAAGGACTCTCGACCTTATAAAATTAATTATCTCACAATAAGCTACTGCCTTTTATATCTTTTTTCAGATAATACATCACCGCGCTACTTTCGTTGTGAATATAAATTTCAATCTAAAATTCAGTTATAAAGAATGTTCAGTTACGTTCACAACGTTCGTTTCCACAATCATCTTTTTGAAAGAAGAAGAACGCAATAAAATAGCTTACTTTTAGAAGTAAGCTTGCACTTGCAAAAACCTTATTATCGATTTCGAGGGTGTAAGTTGTAAATTATGCATAATGCTTGCCACACTGTCGATGTTACTGCGGCGGGAACGTGTTTCTCTCGACCACAATTTTCCCCTGGGAAGTCAGATCTGCACTTCAATGTACGTTTCACGCGCGAAATGTTAATAATACAAATCATTAATGTGACTTTGATTGAAATAATTTCTTTCATATTTCAATAATACAGCAACGTATTATTGTAGAAAATACATACATTCAAAGTGTTTTATGATTTTTGTCATGCACATAAAACATTCTTTACATGTTCCTTATCACATGTATTATTATCAGTATAGCCTAATCTTTTTGCTAAAATATGTTTTCATTAAGAAGTTCTCATTATGTAATGAAATTTTTAGCAATTGATGATATCAAATACTGTGATAGAGAATGTATTACAATTTTTATATATTGTACCTTATCTTATAAAAATAGCGTATAAAAATTTAATTCAAAATATAATACTTCAGTCTGTACTATACGTATAGTACTAAGTATTAGAATATTGTGTATTTACATACATACCTATCTAAATGTAAACAAACATGATCAAGTGCTTATCCACCATCAGTTACATATACACATATGTATTTATATGTATTTGATAGTTTATTTTCTGTTCATTAGTCATTATCTTTACAAATTAAATTTGTAATGCTTCAACTCTGCAAATTATTACTTGTTACAAGTATGTATATGTAAACACAGGTCACATTTAAGTACATCACTTTATAACCACCATTTATATTACTTGATCTCATTACTTAACCACATATTGGTATTTAAATATTTAAGAAGTTAAATGTTCAGAAATTTGACAATTTTCAAGCTTGGAATTTTTACATGGAAATTTACATTTGGAATTTACAAAATTTGATAATTGAAAATTTGTAAACTTGCATTATATAAAAATAGGAATACTAGCAGTATCACTTGGTCACGTTTGATCTAAAATACTTGCAAATTATATACACAAAATGTCTTCTTAACGGAGATCTTGAAGAGGTTATGCGCAACGGCGCCACTAAAATCTTTCTAACAATAACATAAATACGCATGCACGCACTTTCTGAAATCATGAATATCATTTTTAGATTACTCTGTCTTAACACCACTTTTCCATCGTGACTGGCGCTAAATGTGGTCTTGGTTTCGGAGAAGGCCACCTTAATGCACTTTGACAGGATTCCGCCCTGGACGGTGTTCTCGGAGGAGGCTGAGGAGGATTAGACTGCGATTCCTGCGTTTGGCCATTTGTTTCTCCGTTTTTGTCAACCCTTGGACTGTTCTCTGTTGGTGGATCGCCTTTGTGATTTCTCTTGGTTGGCTTTTTTGTCACATCGTGAGCAGATGTTGGTGGCGCACTTTCTACGGACTGAAGACTCGCCGCACGGTGGAGGGACAATCGAAGTGGCTTCTTTGGTGGCGCTGGTCGAGATTTCGTGTCTTGAGAACTGTATACCATCGAAGCATCCAAATTATCCGAAGCTCGTGACTGGGAATCCTAAAGCGATAATAAATGTTATACATGAAGCACTAAAACTATTGTGTCTATTACTAATCACTTAAACTTGGTAGTGAGACTTCTTGTCACATTGACCGCCATACTGGTGATCGGTAGTCGATGATACTAACCGAATTTTATTATTTTTGACAGAAAAAATAAAAGGTGGAAACTTTTGAGTGTTTTATGTCCTGCATTTTTTATATATAGGAGTCTATTAATGTGACGATTTTAAATAATATGTTTTAAATTATTATGACATATGTATATGTAATATTAAAATATTAAAATATTACTAATATTATAATGTAATATATTATTTAAATATGACATAACATGTATATAAAATATTTATTAGATTTTTAGTTTAACTGAGGTTGTCATGTTATAAGACATTAAAAATGAAACTGAAAAATTAATTATGTATTTTAATAATCTGCAGTACAGAGTGATTGATTATATGTCAGTTTTCACTGTAGCAGTCAAAATGTTCAAACATGATAATTTCATATGTAAACGTAAGCAGAATTAATCCAAATGTTAATATGGATATAATAAATTCAATGATACACATAAGCCCAACGCAGCTCAGTGTACATATAAACAGAATTAGTGTAAATCTAAATATGATAATAATACAAAGTAAATATAAATGAGGACATAATTCATCAAAATGTCAATATAATTATAATTAATTCCAATATAAGTGCGGACATAATTATTAGTCCAAATCTAAGTAAAATTATAATTTAATCTAAATGTGAATATAGACATAATTAATTGCAATAAAAATATGAATATAGTACAAATGTAAATGCGAACATAATCAATATAAATGTAAGTATAAATGTAAATATGATTGTAGTTTAATCCAAATATCAATGCGATTACAATTTAATCCAAATGACAATATGTATTTAATTAATGCATGTGTAAATATGGAAATAATTAATTCCACTATAAATATGAATACAATTGCAATATAAATAACAACTCTATTAATTTATACGTAAGTGTTAATACTAGTTAAATTAATACCACTGTAAATATAAATATAATTGCAATATAAATATCAACCCAATTAACTTATACCTAAGTGTTAATACTAGTCCAACTATAAATTAACATAATGTACCTGCAAACGATAATAAGTTGGTTCAGAATCAAAGTCCAACGACTGCATTTGTGACGCGTTTTTGCGATTTTTCGACAATTGTTCCATGGCTGATTCAACCCTAGGTGGTCTCCTGCGCAGCTGCGATTGCATCTGCGTTTGTTTGCAGTCTAAACTGGCGGTTGACCTGGTCAATTGAAAACCCTGGTGTTTCTGTTTGTTTCTCGTTTTCTGGTAGCCATTACTGTCCGAGGAGAAATCAAGTTCTTTCGGACTTTTAGCATCCGTCGTACGCCTCGAATGGTCGCTGTGTCTGTTTCTTACTGTCGGTAAACATTGTCGCAGCTCCATTGAGTTTCTTACGTTTAGGCCTGGCAGATTGGCGACTAATGCGGTCACTTGTGGTCCCTTCTGAAAAACCTAGGCAAAAAAGCGACGTTATTTCGAATACGGAACAAAAACTACACAATGTACGTGTAATTTCATTATTTACAAGAGAAAAAGAGATCTTTGATGATCTTGACCGTTGTATATCTTGTCAGGATTAATGTTCTGATTACTTTTTTCTTCACAGGATGATTGTACAGGTTTTTGTGTATAAGGTAATTCACTTAAGTGTGATTGAGGTCTACAAATTTAGAGATTTAGGGATAGAAGGTATTATGGTACTTTGATACTGCTATCTAGGGATTTGAAGGTATTATGAATTTTGGGATTTAGAAGTCTGAGGGTCCACTGATGTAGGAATCTAGGGATTTAGGGATTTGAGGGCATAGGAATTTTGGAATCTAGGAATATGGAAATTTAAGGATTTGAAGTCATAAGAATTTAGGAATTTAGAGATTTGAGAAAAGAGGAATTTTGGAGTCTAGAGATCTGGAGACTTAAGAATTTGAGAATCTAGGGATTTAAGGGCATAAGAGTATGGGGATCTAGGGATTTGAAAACAAAGGAATTTGGGAGTCTAGGGACCTGAAGACATAAGAAGTTAAGAACCTAGGGATTTTGGGACAAAGGAATATGAAAATCTAGGAACCTAGGAATTTAGGAGCTAAGGAATTTGGGAATATAACTTTTTGAAAATATTAAAATTTAAAGATTTACGAATTTGAAAAACTTGAGAAATTAGAAGTTATAGTAGTTGTACTATTCACAAGTTGAATAAGAAATTAGAAAAATTGAAAATTTTGAAATTCAGGGATTTAAAAATTTGGTAACTACAAATTTTTAAAATATAGAAGTTTAACATTTAAAAATTTGAGAACTTAGAGAATTAAAAGCTTGGTAATTTGAAATATTTAGATATAGGGATTTGAAAATTTGAAAATATAGGAATTTGGAATTTGGGAAGATGGAAATTGGAAAATTTGTGAATATAGAAATTTGGAATTTGGGAAGATGGAAATTGGAAAATTTGAGAATATAGGAATTTGGAATTTGAGAAGATGGAAATTGGAAAATTTGAGAATATAGGAATTTGGAATTTGGAAAGATGGAAATTTGAAAATAGTGAAAATTGAGGAATTTGGAAATATACTAATCTAAGGATATGAAAATTATAGAATGTAAAATTCAAAAATAAAAACAAATAAATTTGTAGGTGTAGCATTTATTCTTCTTTTACTACATAAGACCATTTTCTGGTACAATATGCATTTTACATTGCGAAAATACTATTTATAATTAATTTAGTAAGCATTTCTTCAAATTTTAGAAAAGAATTTCAATAAAAATCGTTAAAAGTGCAACGTGCATCCTCTAACAAATATTCAACATCTAACAACACAGTAATATATTAAAAATTATAATTTTTCATTTTGAATTTTATTCCTCTATAATCATATTTAATTAAAAAAAATGTTGTTCATGGTTATTTATATATATGTATATACATTTTCTGTCCATTTTAATACCAAATATTTAAGACTCCACTGATATACCTACCTTCATGCCTTTAATCTCACGACTCTTACATTTTTTGCTCTATCACTTCTGATAGCACTTGACGTATCATAAATCAGTAGTTTAAGCACGTGCTGTTGAAGACACATGGTGTCACTTGAGGAAGATTACTAACGCACTGATCCTCAGAAAGTGTCACAGACACGATGAAGGATAGTCATCCGTTTTTTTGGAAATCTTTCTCACGAAAACCATCATGATCGCTTACTCACTTACCATGTGAGTGATACGTGCAAACTCAGCATTGTACAGGACGTCCCATGTAACCTGAGCATCTTGAATATCTGGTTCATTTTTCATGATAGAAAAAAGTGTCAGAAGGGGACATTTTGTGTGAGAAACAAATGTGATGGTTATGAATTTTTTCTTAGGGTATAAATATCTTCATTTTTATTATAATGATATTATATCTGAACATAGTTGATAAATAATAAAATTGTTGAGGAATGTATGTCTCAGATACAGCGCCACCTGAAGACTTTAGACTCGAATTTAACGGTAATGGTACATCAGATAAGTGAAATAAAAATATCAGTACTAATTAGAAATGTGAATGTATACAATTAGTTTATGGGACTGCATTAAGCTGAACACAAATATTACAAATAATAGAAGTGTTTTGAAATACATACTTCAGATACAGCGCCACCTGAAGACTTTAGACTCGAATTTAACGATAATGGTACATCAGATAAGTGAAATAAAGATATCGGTATTAATTAGAAATGTGAACATTTACAATAAGTTTATGAGATTGTGCTAATCTGAACTTGTTTCATCAATAACAGAGTTGATAAGAAATGAACATTTTAGACACAGCGCCACCTGAAGACTTTAGACTCGAATTAATGATAATGGTGCATCAGATAAGTGAAATAGAGATATCAGTATTAATTAGAAACGTGAACATTTCCAACTAGTTTATGAGATTGTGCTAATCTGAACTTGTTTCATCAATAACAGAGTTGATAAGAAATGAACATTTTAGACACAGCGCCACTTGAAGACTTTAGACTCGAATTTAACGATAATGGTGCATCAGATAAGTAAATTCAAGATATTAATATTAACTGCAAATGTGAACATTAAATATTGGCTAATGAGACTATGGTAACCTGAAAATGTTTTACAAATAACAAAATTAATAATACACGTCTCCACCGTCACCTGAAGAGTTTGGATTCGAATTTAACGACAACGGTAGATAAGATAAGGTAATGAAAGGCAGCAATAATACCGAATAAAGTGAACATTTATAGTTAGCTTATGGTTGCGTTAATAGTTGCGTAGTATACCTGAACTTGTTCTTGTCGAGTCGGCGGAGGATCCGCGGGGACTTCGGCCCTACTTGGTGCCAGAAGATCCCTAACCTGTTCTTCGAGATACCCGATCCTGTGAGTCAACCTGAGGTTATCTGATCGAAGTGTGCGCAGTGCTGCGAGGGATTCGCCTTTTCGAAGGACCACGATTTGTGCCGCATCGGGTGCAACGGCCAATAGCCTCGCCAAGTCGCTCCTGCCGGCTCCCACCACCAGCTTTCCATTCACCTCCAAGATCCTGAAGACAATGTTGACCGATAAAGCGTTGAATTTCACGAGCGCGATATTAACGCTTAATTGGGTGAAACTGTAGCGCCGACAAAGAGGCAGATTGATTCATTACGGTAATGGGTGACGACAAGAAATACGCTCGCTAGAAACTGTTAATCGTGAAAGTATCCAGTCTCTGCTTTATATTCTATACCGGCGAGGATTTTTTTTTTCGCTAATTACAATCGTGCCTCTGACAATCGAACAGCTCTAAGGGAAATGTAGTTGAGCGGGGCTGCATCGTTCAGCGGAAATTATATGATCTTGCACGGACAATTAAGTTTAAAATAATCAGTAAAAGTCATGTACAAAATAATATAAAAATATATAAAAATGTATAAAGTGTATGAAAATATGTAGTAATATATAAAAATGAATATAGATGTACAACAAAGTATAAAGATATATAAAAATGTATACAACTGTACATAAAATACATAAAAATATAAATGTATAAAAATGTACATAACTATTTAAAAAAAAAATAAATAGTTACAATGCATAAAAATGTATAAGAATGTATAAGAATGTATAAAAATGTATAAAAATGTATAAAAATGTATAAAAATGTATAAAAATGTATAAAAATGTATAAAAATGTATAAAAATGTATAAAAATGTATAAAAATGTATAAAAATGTATAAAAATGTATAAAAATGTATAAAAATGTATAAAAATGTATAAGAATGTATAAGAATGTATAAAAATGTATAAAAATGTATAAAAATGTATAAAAAAGTATAAAAATGTATAAAAATGTATAAAAATGTATAAAAGTATAAAATTGTATAAAGACATATTATATAAAAATCTATAAAATTATACAAAAATATTACCATGTATAAAAATTGTGAACAACTGTATAAAAATATATACAAGTAGAAATGTATAGAAATAAATATAAATGTATTACAATATACATATTACTATAAGAATGTATACAAATGTATACAAATACATACAAATATGTAAAAATGTATCAAAATCTACAAGAATCCATAAAAATCCACAAAAATGATTCATAAAAATAAAAATGCATAAAACATTATAACTCAGATCTGAATGTCATTTAAATCTCAGAATCACAATTTTTCAAATAACAAAATTACAATTTCAAAATTACAATTTTGAAAATTAATACAAATTTGAATTCCTAAGAAGAGAGTGACCTTAGAAGGGAGTTCTTTCGAGTTTTAACAAATTCTGATTTTTTGAGTTTTAACAAATCTCGTGAATGTACACATGTCGTGTACGCGTGTATAAGGAACAGGAGAAACGATGGGGTCATGTGAAGTCGCGGGTGCAATTAGTGGGGGTACACTGCGAACTTCCGGTGCTGCTTCACGCTACAGTGACCCGTTGGGAACCGAATACCAAGATTTTAGCATTGTTCTGTACTGATAGCTAGGTTACGTAGTGCGAGCACATGCTGTTTCGCGTTATTTGTACCGATGGGACCGAATTCAATATGTATGGTCTTAAGGGTCAGCTGTGATGACCGAATAGTCCGACCAAAATGAGTAGGGATATACAAGAGGCAACACTCTGCAAGGAAACTACTTTTTCAAACATTAAAAGTGCCATTCGGAGTGTCGTTCCTTATTGTATCCCTAGTCCTTGCTCCAACTATTACTTTTAGGGATATTGCAAATTTCTGAACCACCAAATTTCAAGAATCCAAAATTCCCAAAATTCCAAATTCCCAAAATTCCAAATTCCCAAAATTCCAAATTCCCAAAATTCCAAATTCCCAAAATTCCAAATTCCCAAAATTCCAAATTCCCAAAATTCCAAATTCCCAAAATTCCAAATTCCCAAAATTCCAAATTCCCAAAATTCCAAATTCCCAAAATTCCAAATTCCCAAAATTCCAAATTCCCAAAATTCCAAATTCCCAAAATTCCAAATTCCCAAAATTCCAAATTCCCAAAATTCCAAATTCCCAAAATTCCAAATTCCCAAAATTCCAAATTCCCAAAATTCCAAATTCCCAAAATTCCAAATTCCCAAAATTCCAAATTCCCAAAATTCCAAATTCCCAAAATTCCAAATGCCCAAAATTCCAAATTCCCAAAATTCCAAATGCCCAAAATTCCAAATTCCCAAAATTCCAAATGCCCAAAATTCCAAATTCCCAAAATTCCAAATGCCCAAAATTCCAAATTCCCAAAATTCCAAATTCCCAAAATTCCAAATTCCCAAAATTCCAAATTCCCAAAATTCCAAATTCCCAAAATTCCAAATTCCCAAAATTCCAAATTCCCAAAATTCCAAATTCCCAAAATTCCAAATTCCCAAAATTCCAAATTCCCAAAATTCCAAATTCCCAAAATTCCAAATTCCCAAAATTCCAAATTCCCAAAATTCCAAATTCCCAAAATTCCAAATTCCCAAAATTCCAAATTCCCAAAATTCCAAATTCCCAAAATTCCAAATTCCCAAAATTCCAAATTCCCAAAATTCCAAATTCCCAAAATTCCAAATTCCCAAAATTCCAAATTCCCAAAATTCCAAATTCCCAAAATTCCAAATTCCCAAAATTCCAAATTCCCAAAATTCCAAATTCCCAAAATTCCAAATTCCCAAAATTCCAAATTCCCAAAATTCCAAATTCCCAAAATTCCAAATTCCCAAAATTCCAAATTCCCAAAATTCCAAATTCCCAAAATTCCAAATTCCCAAAATTCCAAATTCCCAAAATTCCAAATTCCCAAAATTCCAAATTCCCAAAATTCCAAATTCCCAAAATTCCAAATTCCCAAAATTCCAAATTCCCAAAATTCCAAATTCCCAAAATTCCAAATTCCCAAAATTCCAAATTCCCAAAATTCCAAATTCCCAAAATTCCAAATTCCCAAAATTCCAAATTCCCAAAATTCCAAATTCCCAAAATTCCAAATTCCCAAAATTCCAAATTCCCAAAATTCCAAATTCCCAAAATTCCAAATTCCCAAAATTCCAAATTCCCAAAATTCCAAATTCCCAAAATTCCAAATTCCCAAAATTCCAAATTCCCAAAATTCCAAATTCCCAAAATTCCAAATTCCCAAAATTCCAAATTCCCAAAATTCCAAATTCCCAAAATTCCAAATTCCCAAAATTCCAAATTCCCAAAATTCCAAATTCCCAAAATTCCAAATTCCCAAAATTCCAAATTCCCAAAATTCCAAATTCCCAAAATTCCAAATTCCCAAAATTCCAAATTCCCAAAATTCCAAATTCCCAAAATTCCAAATTCCCAAAATTCCAAATTCCCAAAATTCCAAATTCCCAAAATTCCAAATTCCCAAAATTCCAAATTCCCAAAATTCCAAATTCCCAAAATTCCAAATTCCCAAAATTCCAAATTCCCAAAATTCCAAATTCCCAAAATTCCAAATTCCCAAAATTCCAAATTCCCAAAATTCCAAATTCCCAAAATTCCAAATTCCCAAAATTCCAAATTCCCAAAATTCCAAATTCCCAAAATTCCAAATTCCCAAAATTCCAAATTCCCAAAATTCCAAATTCCCAAAATTCCAAATTCCCAAAATTCCAAATTCCCAAAATTCCAAATTCCCAAAATTCCAAATTCCCAAAATTCCAAATTCCCAAAATTCCAAATTCCCAAAATTCCAAATTCCCAAAATTCCAAATTCCCAAAATTCCAAATTCCCAAAATTCCAAATTCCCAAAATTCCAAATTCCCAAAATTCCAAATTCCCAAAATTCCAAATTCCCAAAATTCCAAATTCCCAAAATTCCAAATTCCCAAAATTCCAAATTCCCAAAATTCCAAATTCCCAAAATTCCAAATTCCCAAAATTCCAAATTCCCAAAATTCCAAATTCCCAAAATTCCAAATTCCCAAAATTCCAAATTCCCAAAATTCCAAATTCCCAAAATTCCAAATTCCCAAAATTCCAAATTCCCAAAATTCCAAATTCCCAAAATTCCAAATTCCCAAAATTCCAAATTCCCAAAATTCCAAATTCCCAAAATTCCAAATTCCCAAAATTCCAAATTCCCAAAATTCCAAATTCCCAAAATTCCAAATTCCCAAAATTCCAAATTCCCAAAATTCCAAATTCCCAAAATTCCAAATTCCCAAAATTCCAAATTCCCAAAATTCCAAATTCCCAAAATTCCAAATTCCCAAAATTCCAAATTCCCAAAATTCCAAATTCCCAAAATTCCAAATTCCCAAAATTCCAAATTCCCAAAATTCCAAATTCCCAAAATTCCAAATTCCCAAAATTCCAAATTCCCAAAATTCCAAATTCCCAAAATTCCAAATTCCCAAAATTCCAAATTCCCAAAATTCCAAATTCCCAAAATTCCAAATTCCCAAAATTCCAAATTCCCAAAATTCCAAATTCCCAAAATTCCAAATTCCCAAAATTCCAAATTCCCAAAATTCCAAATTCCCAAAATTCCAAATTCCCAAAATTCCAAATTCCCAAAATTCCAAATTCCCAAAATTCCAAATTCCCAAAATTCCAAATTCCCAAAATTCCAAATTCCCAAAATTCCAAATTCCCAAAATTCCAAATTCCCAAAATTCCAAATTCCCAAAATTCCAAATTCCCAAAATTCCAAATTCCCAAAATTCCAAATTCCCAAAATTCCAAATTCCCAAAATTCCAAATTCCCAAAATTCCAAATTCCCAAAATTCCAAATTCCCAAAATTCCAAATTCCCAAAATTCCAAATTCCCAAAATTCCAAATTCCCAAAATTCCAAATTCCCAAAATTCCAAATTCCCAAAATTCCAAATTCCCAAAATTCCAAATTCCCAAAATTCCAAATTCCCAAAATTCCAAATTCCCAAAATTCCAAATTCCCAAAATTCCAAATTCCCAAAATTCCAAATTCCCAAAATTCCAAATTCCCAAAATTCCAAATTCCCAAAATTCCAAATTCCCAAAATTCCAAATTCCCAAAATTCCAAATTCCCAAAATTCCAAATTCCCAAAATTCCAAATTCCCAAAATTCCAAATTCCCAAAATTCCAAATTCCCAAAATTCCAAATTCCCAAAATTCCAAATTCCCAAAATTCCAAATTCCCAAAATTCCAAATTCCCAAAATTCCAAATTCCCAAAATTCCAAATTCCCAAAATTCCAAATTCCCAAAATTCCAAATTCCCAAAATTCCAAATTCCCAAAATTCCATGAGTATGTATGTGCGCGATATAATATAGGAAAGTATGTGGTCAGTATAATACAAGTACGTATGTACTCGAGATACATGTATGTACTCAATATAATACAAGTACGTACTCGATATGATATAAACACATATATTCTCGATAGAATACAAGTATATACTTAATATAATACAAGGACATATGTATTCAATACGATACAAGTATCTATTTCTAAACTCATCAATTTCATGTAAAGAAATGTGTCAGCACGATATTTTCTTTAAATTAACGAGCACGTAACCAGCAGTAAAACAATTAGAAACCAGCAATTTTTATTTAAAATTGTCTAAATGCATGATGCGAAAATACCTCTCTGTCTCAAAGCAGAATAATTATTTGTTCTATGTATAAAATGTCCCAGAGCAAAATGTTAAATGTGAGGGAAATTAATATGATTAACAATTTAAAAGAGAAAAATTATTCTGTAATAAAGATTTTGGAACTGTTAGAAAAAAGTCGACGCAGTGTATCTGAAAACAGTGAAAATTACGTAAAACACATCACGCCAGTCGAAAGGTGACATGATCGCGAGATAAATAAGCAATTTTAAGGTGTGCATTCAATCCCGCAATAACTGCGCGACAAAATGGCGGCAGTCGCTGATACGGTTGTGATAGAACAGTATAGAGGATCATAGAGAATTAACAGCTAAAAAGCAAAATGTTACAGAAGCTCCTGTTATTGAATCATCGGGAAGAAACACGACTGCAATTTGCAAGAAAATAGACACAACAGCAAAAAATAGTAAAAGGTCATCTTACGAAAAACATCGCAGTTTGGACGTTTTGGTCTGTTTAAATTATCTTCACGATTTACTGATAGAAAAATAAATTTAGAAAATAATAAGTAGATGACGGTGGTATAATGATTCTTATAGTCTAATAATTATTATGATTATTAATATCAGCCATGATAATAGTTATTGGTATATCATGATTTGATCATAGAGTTTTGAGAAAAACAGATACCAAGTTTGCTTCAACGAAAATGTATAGTAATCGAAATAAATACACTTAATGGAGAATTATCGAAATATGCAGATAAGATATCTACGCAAGATGTTATTTTTTAGCACGATTCCAGCATTTTCACTGCGAAAATATTAAAAATTTACGTTGTGACTGTGAAAATAGTTTTGTTGTGACTAGCCAGGTCTAAGCCTACACAATATTGAGAATCATTGCAAAATATTGACGAGAAAAGTATATTCTGCGGGGAATTTTGCGGGGGAACAATTAAACAGTGGATGAGTTAAAAACGTGCCTCGAAGAGAAATGAAAAAGTTTGTAACAAAATGCAACGAAAAATTATATAAATCTCTTGCGATATGTTAGAGTGCAACCTAACTGATACACTACGCATTATCGACAAAGAGTGAAAATACCGTTTGTATGTTGATTTTCCTGGAAATATACTCTGCGACTTACAATTCTGTCGTGAATGGCATTTTTCTACTCATAACTTTTATTTCTGCAAATGCTAGAATGATAAAGGACAACTCCTCATGGAACGACATTCCTTGATACTAATATTAATCTTTTGCATGCAGCAGAAATTTTATGTTACAAGATTTTATAATCTTATGTAGTCTTATGGTCTACAATTTATAGTTTACAGTCTATAATCTACAATTTATAATTTAGAATCTATAATCTACAATTTATAGTTTACTATCTATAATCTACAATTTACAGTTTTCATTTTATGGTCACATTGCTATGAAATGTAGCATAAAAATAAAGAAACAGAGAGCAAGAAATGACCGTCATAAATTTGAATTACAAATTTGATTTCTGCAAAATATTCTACTCTATTTTCTTCGGTTTTCCCTTTTTTTTCAGAGTGTCACAGTTTCCTGCACCCCAAAGTTTCTTTGGATGCATTACCGAAATAGAGGAAGAATAAGCGCATATTTGAGATGAAATGAGAAAAACTTAGAAGGCTGCTAGATAAGATTCATATAAGGGAAGTTCTTTTATTACTGCCGATGAGATACCTGAATATCGTATCATTCTTTTGTTTTTCTTGGGTCTCCGCCAGTTCTAGAGCAGCTTGAAGGGCTCTGCTTTCTTCGCGAAGGGTCAGAAGTTCAAGTTCCTCTCGTCCGAGTCTGTATTCTAGCTCCGCTTGTTGAATTCGAACATCAATATTGCTGAAACAAACACACTTCATGTTTTCTCGTTGTCGTTATTTCAATCGTTCGACTTGGTAATTATTTACATTGTTTATATATTTCGACGATTTTCAGTGATGTTAAAGGGTTGTTACAGAGGTTAATGCATTTCATTTGAAATAAAGATTTTGTTTACTCCAAATTTAACTTTCAATTTCTTCTTCTTCTTCTTCTTCATAAGTGTTTAACATCGCGTCGACTGCATTTGTCTGAGGTACGGTTTTTCTGCATTTCAATTTCAATTTCGTTTATTGGCAATTTTAATTATTTAAAATTTTATTGTTATTTCAGTATTTCACTTATTTCAAATTTTATTTACTCAAAATTTCATTTTTACGTTTGTCTGAAATTTTACTTATTCTGTATTATATTTTCATTTTTATTTAATTTAAATTTCATTTTTAGTTCCATTTATTTGAAATATTATTTAATTTATATTTCATTGTTAATTATATCAATCTGAAATTTTACCTGCACTAAATTTTAATTTCCAATTTCATCTATTTGAAATTTTATTTATTCCAAATTTTAGTTTTCAATTTTATCAATTTGAAATTTTATTTATTCAAAATTGTCACTTTCAATGTCATATATATGAAATTTTATTTATTCTAAATTAGTATGGTTAATTTCATTTATTAGAAACTTTATTTATTCCAAAATTTTAGTTTTCAATTTCATTTAATTATATTTACTTCAAATTTTACTTTTTAATTTCATGTATTTGAAATTTTATTTATTCCCAATTTTAGTTTTCCTTTTCATCGTTTTGAAATTTTGTTTATTCCAAATTTTAGTTTTCAATTTCATCTATTTGAAATTTTACTTATTCAAAATTTTTATTTTCAATTGCATCTATTTGAAATTTTATTTATTCCAAATAATAATTTTCAAATTCATTTATTTCAAATTTTATTCAAGTTTAATTTAATTACAGATCAGAAATTACTTATGAAGTTTATTTCTTTAAAGTGTTCTAGTCTTGTTAATAATAATTATCTGTTGTCGATAACATATTAATATCACAAGTGTTACGTTAACACTTTATTTAAAACTGCACTAAAAAGATATATTTATATATCGGTTAAAAGTTATTTTATAACCTCTCTTTATTTTTGCACAGGTTTCTCATAAAATGTTATTTTTTGGTCCTACTTTGAACTTTAAATCGTTTACAAAAATATTACGGTACTATCGATATTTTATCGTATCTCCCATAATAAAACGCCCTAATTCTTTTTACAGAGTATTAAAATAACAAAAATATTTTGTACTATTTCTATAAATTCAAAATTTTCAATATTTCTAAAGCCGATTTAGCAACTTTGTAAATTTGAAATTTCTAAACTTGAAAATTTCTGTACGTCATTTCCTGTGGAGCGATGTGAACGCGCATTGTACCCTACCACATTTCGGCCGAAGTGTAAGAAGATTAGAAAATAATAATTACGACTATTGGGTAGGACGTGGACGAACGATCTGGCCTCCAAACTTCTAAGACCTCACACCCATGAACTTTTATTTATGGGAATACATTCCAGAAAAAGTATACGGTAAAGATATCGAAAGTGAAGAGCAATCGGTTCAAGCGATTAATTACGCATTTAACCTCTTGGGTACGTCTGAATTTTGCGCGGGCTATTTCTCTAAACGGCGGAGTACGGTGAGCGAATGAGTCAGTAGAGTAAGCCACTATAGTAGCGCGTCGCACCTAAGAGGTTAAGGAAGCGAAAAGTCGAAACGCGTTACCGAGGGTACATGCTTCGGTAAATTAGACGGGTACAGCTACACATCCGACAACGATTTCAGCAATTTTGCAACCGAAAAAGTAAAATTTCATTAAAAATTTTGTTCGTGTTTTTCTTCCGAGCGGCAATCATCGCGTACTCTGCAGCATTGTTTGCAAACACAATACGCGTTTACTTTCTTCGACAGAAAACAACATTGTTACACAGCGAAGGAACACAGTGTATTTCGGAATTTCTTGCAGATCTTCTCTTGGAAACTCAGCCGAAAATCAACAAATTTTATTGTGTACATTTTTCTTGTTTTCCTATAAGGAATTACGTACTGTGCGCGTTTAAACATTATTCGATGGGATACTATGTATCTTGATATGTTTTACTCCTAGGTTAATAATTTAGAGTTTGAAAGATCATAAAAACAGGAATAGGGCTTTTTGTCGGTATTATAATAATTGTTCACTTACTCGGTGATGTTCAAGCGTTCAAGTGCAAGTTTTAGGTTTTTTATCGCTAATCGTTTATTGTCGGCGTCACGTCGTAACCTTTGAAGTCGTTCCTCCGTTGCTTTTCTGTCAGCCTCGGTCAAAGGTGGTGCACCATTGCGTAATGCCAACCGATTACTAAGGGTGTTACACAGCTGCCCTTTTAATCTAAAATATAACAAAATTTAGTTACTTTCAGTGAAAACAATACCTGAGTAATCAACAAGGAGTAATAAAGGGGATAACAACTAATATAACAATTAATGGAAATAATTAAATATAACAACTAATGGAAAGTTTACTAAGGACCAATTTCTAAAATGCACCTATGTGATCATGTATTTAGTGCATAAATTGCAGTAATGTAAGTAACTTATAATAATGTAGTTTACAAGTATGGTGAATACATTATTCTCACTACTATTTACTCTTGTCTGTAAATATACGTATAATGGTCTCTAACAGTTTATAGTCAATGTTTTAATAATTTATTTATTGAATATTTGAAACTCTGAAAATTTAAATATATAAAAGATGTCAAATTTTCTGTTTTTGCAGATTCAATAATTTGGAAATTTGAAAATTAAAAGTAACAAGGTTACAACACTGACATGCTGTATAAAATTGTATATATATGATTTACTAAATTAATGTACTTATTAAAAATAGTTTACATTTTTATATTAAGTTAATTTTGCCAAAATTAAACATAAATGTACATTGATTAATATGTGTACATATTAAGTATACATTTACTCAATTATTATCATTCATGTCAAAATTTAACATAAAAATCGTACTTTTATTATTTATTTTATAACAACAATTTTTCTCACAAAAAATATTCCTCTTCAAAATCGAGTAAATTGTGGCGTGAATAAAATCGACCATCGCTACCGATTCTAACGGCGCTAATTAGACGTTAATTAAAATTTTAAACCTATTGAATTTACTTTCAGCTTCTTCACGTTCCGTGTGGTTTACAATAATATTTTAAGAACATCGTTACATTTTAGCTAATTAGATGGGATTTTTCTTGTTATGGTGTAGATTCGATTTCATAAGCGAAACCTTCTATCTATGGACATGCACTTTTATAGAAATTAATTGCACAATTCTCCTTGTTATTTGGGTTAATGAAAATTTAGTTGCTACGTAATTATCTTCGTGTGACGTTTTTAACTTTTTTTACTGTCGTTCTTAAAATCTGTCTTCTTTTTGAATTTTTGTAGACTACTCCTTAAAATAATATTATATTTATTGATAATATACGTTATTAATTATGTAAACAAATTTTAAATAAAAGTTGTAAATTTAGACAAGTAGTATTTCTTTAGATTTTATTATCTTTTTTTGTAATACAAATGGTTTAGAAACAAATTTTCAAATCCCCAAAAATTATTTTAAAACTTCATATTTTCAAATTCTTAAATTACAAAATTACAAAATTACAAAATCATAAAATTTAAAAATTACAAATTATAAAATTCACAAATTATCCATTTACCAAATTATCAAGTTATTAAGTTACCAAATTATTAATTGTAAGTTACCAATTGACCAACTTACCAAATTACTAAACTACTAATTTTCCATTTATAAATATTTAACCTTCAAATCCTTAAATTTCTAAATTTTTAGTCAGTCAAATCTTCAAATACATAAATTTAAAAACGTTCAACTTATTCAAAATACTAATTTTTTGTTTATTTTCAAAATTACAATTCTCCAATTGTCCACATCTCTAAATTTATAAATTATTATATATCATATTTCTAAATTTCTAAATTTTCAAATTTATCAATTTACAAATTACCAAATTTACAAATGATCAAATTTACCAAACACCAAATACCAAATACCAAATTTACAAATTACCGAATTTACAAGTTACCAAATTTACCAATTACCAAACTATCAAACTGAATTATTATTAAATCCAAAAATCCCAACAAATAATCTTTCGCTACTGAACACAAAGAATAATCAATAATTTTTTATTTTTCATAAATAACAGCCACCGTAATCATTATACTTTATAAAAATTCAGACAGTAATTAGAAGTTTTCGCTTTTTCTACACACGTGCTTATAAAGTAGATATTGATAAACATCTCACGTTTGAATAATATTTTCTTTATCACGCAATGCAACTCGTAGAGCATCCAACTCCTTGTAATGATCTCTGTTTCGATGACCAGCAGGTGAGGTGACTCCACCGGAAATGCTTCCACCCTTCTTCCGCCTCGGTGTTGTAGACAAAGAAACTTCTATACTAGCCATCTATAACAATGAAAGTTAAATACAATTTAAATTACTATATACAACAGTTTTGAGTATAGGAATATGATAGAAATTTTAATTTGGTTTTCCAATCTTCAGGTACATAATTTAAAAAAAATTATAAGAGATTAGGTTATTCAGTCGTATTATTACAAGTCAATTCACATTTTTTAGTCTGTATAACGCGTATGTGTTCAGACAATGACAGGCCCTCTGTCTTTTGCAAACCGAAACTGTTGTCGTACCTCCACCGAGCGACACTTCGTTACGCGATAACTTCAGTTTGTTGATCACGTCGCTAGCGTGCACGCGTTGCACGCGATTCTGAGCCACGCGCTTTTCAAAAAGTATACAATAAACTTCTTATTATTCGTATATCCTGCCTTCATTATTTACACTTAGCCTTAACAATATTGTCACATGACAAGATCGACGAAATTTCGTAAAAGAAAATGCAATCGTGTCAGAAAAGTAGACGGTCATTGGGTGTTAGATGGTCGACAATGACGCAAGCGACTGTTGTATGATTGTAATCGAGAATCGTGAGACGATCACTATACTACCTGTTATAAAGGAACACGTTAATGTCGCTAGTGAAATTCACATGGATCGTTTGAAAAGTTATACAGGACTCGGTGCAAAAGGTTATACATAAATGTTGATCACGGTAGAGTAGGCAAATATAATTTACTTTGAATCTGCGTTACGTCACGATCGAATTTCTATGAAACTTTAACTAAATGAAATTTAAGGTAGGGACGGCACGTGTACTCAAAAAATTGAACTTTACTGTCGTCCTGTGAAAGTTTGGATGAGAGAATGAGGACGTTTTCGCGATGAAAAATTTGTACTTTGCGAATATTTATGGTGACAATTTTAGCGCCGAAATAGTATTGGTGGTGTTTTTAATGCATGAGTGCAAGATGTGTTTTACTAAATAATAAAATTTACGTGGTTATCACGTTGAAGCTATGCAGTACTAAAAAATTATTAAACTTTTACATGTAAATTATAAACCAATGAATTCCAATATTTAAATTAGTTATATTTATTGAACACTATCAGATTATGGTATATAGTATAATCAGATCTATACGATATACAAAGTGCTTCTCTTGACGAAGGTACTACCTAACCATTTTTATTATAGGTTATATCTTTTGATTGTTTAATAAAATTATAATATTAGTAATTACAGTCGAAGTGATTGGTGGCAGTCAAATTCAAAATGGACGTAATATAGTAAATAAAGGAATTTAATATTAGTTAAAAATATTTAAGAGATTAACAAAGTGGTTCTCAGAGACGTAGGTACTACATAACCATTTTTATTATAGGTTATATTTCTCGATTATTTATACAATTGTAATATTAGTAATTACAGTCGAGGTGATTGGTGACAGTCAAATTCAAAATGGACGTTGCACAAGAATGGACGTGATATAACAAATAACGGAATCTAATACTAGTAAAAATATTTATTATAGAATAACTTATACAAGTATAATATTAACATAAAATTATGCAATACTTCAACAGTATAAAATAAGTAAAAAATATTTGCCATGAAATTAAAATATCAATGAGATATTATATGTTGCAATTTTTAATGCAGTTACATTTTTAACACTATTATATACTATTACATGATATGAAATAACATATTTCAATATGAAATTATAAATTTACATTAAAGTACATAAAATTAATCTTCAAGTTTCAGTAGTACTTAAACATTTTCATTTATATTCAATTAAATTTTACAAAAATTTATATAAATTATATAGTTATAAGAAGGTACGTTTGTGACAGATTCTAAGATTATTTAATCTTTGAAATCACTTTTTAACAAACGAATAAAAATAACGTGTTATTCGATAGAATATGTAAACATATGTCATTTAAAAAGTGTCTAACTCTCTTCGGACGATATGTCACTGCATTCACGACACAATTTATGCTTTCAACACGATAGTGCTCTCGCTGCGCTGAGCTAATTGAATCAACAGTTTGGACTGGAAGTAAATGGACTGGACATAGGTGATACGTAACGTTATTCTAACATTATTCGATTTCTTTCTATAGCGGTTTTTAAAAAATATTGTACTCTACTAATAAACTTGTATGGCTACCTCGCTAGTTTGAGACTGTTACCGTTCTGGGAATAGAAACTATTCTAACACTAAACCTACCGGTATATAATGTGCACTTAATTTGAAATTAAAAATGAAGTTAAAAAATAAATAAACAGACAACGAAACATAAATTATTACACACATTTATTCTTTTTCTTGATGAAAATCAATTATGATTTCAAAGAATGTACTTTAACAAAATGTGTATTTTATAATAAGAAACTTGTGGAACGGTCATTTGACCGGTTTTGGTAGTTTTAGTGTTAAAAAATAGTATAAACAATATTTTATCTGATGTAACACTTTATTTTGTCAAATTTCTACAGTTCAGAATTTTTTTAACAAATTTTGATTGCGACCATTAGAGTGTTAACACTAATTGTATAAATTTGACATAATTGTGTTAACACTTTAATACCTAGGCAGTCAAAAGTAGTTAGGGGCCAGCAATATTTTTGAAGAATGAATTATTCTAATTAATCTAAAAATACTAATTAATTTAAATAGAATTTAAAAAATACTTTATGTAAATTGATGAAATAATGTAACATTAACATACACACAAAACAAACGAAAACAATTACAACTTGTTTAATAAAACAAATTTAATAATTTCCTTTGAGTGATAATTATTAAAGCAACTACTTACGTTCATCAATCATTTCACACGTTGTGTGAGCGGCCATTAAAGTGTTACTATAAATCTACTGTAAAATCAAGGTCATCCGAAGATCACCATGTTACATTCAAATATCTAACTTTAGTAAAATACATTCACAAATCAAATAAATAAAATAGATATCACTCTATTCAACTTGTTGCCTAACTTGTTCCATTTTATACGAAATCCGAGATATAACTCGTTCCAGTTACATTGCCCTGTGCGTTTGACAAATCGAGTTGTTTGTCACAGAATACTTCACTCCGTTTCTCCAATTTTTAAAAAAGTATGAATTTTTGTTATCACTGTGAATTTTCAAAAGCTCCTCACAAGAAGATATCCTCTAAAATATCCGTCTATAGAATATCTATCAGTTGGTGCTCAGGTAAGTATAATAGCGCAGCGTAAAAAGGCATATTGAAAGGGTTAAAAAGCAGTAACATACGAGGAGTATTTGAAGAACGATCGAAGAGAGGGCGACGGAACGACACGCGTCATGAATATAAATTTATCGTTCCATTAAATCTATGATTTGCGAGGATGTCTGGGATGTCCCGACCTTAATGGACTTCTACATCGGTACTGCACACGATGCGATGCTCGATGGTCCTTGAGAAAGCAGCACTCGGTCTCTCCTTCTGCCATATAGCGCGGGGAAGGTCAATGTCGGCCTTGCCTGCGCAGCGCACCGAGAGGAGACCTTGCACGCTCGGTGTCCCACACGAGACTAGATTTCTTCGCACAAAATATGCAACTGAATATCCAATGTGCCTTTTGGCAAATAATCTACTTCCTTTATTGCCTGAAATTGACACTGTTTTTACAGAACATAAAATGCAGTGCATTTCCATACACAGGGTGGCTCACCATATCTTGCCATTTAGATTTGCGTCATTATTATTACTCAACAATGTTTCAAATGAAGTTGAATGGTTTTGAAGGGGGCATATGCTGGTGGTATATTTTTTTTGTAGGTCACATAGCTATATCCTCACATAGCTATAAAAGTATTGAATGTTAATCCAATTGGTAATATATGAATATTATTCTAGAATACCACTTATAATATGTATTTACCGAATATTTTATTATATTTATGGTATACCGAATGCTTGTACTGTGACAAACAAGTTGAAAAACATGTGCAGTGAGCGATATGCAGTGTACTGAGTTGTAAGGATATCCGGTTTATCATTCTTTCTTACCCGCCGGGTGGTCCCTTGTTTCATCCGAGACATGCTCTGTTCACAATAGTCCCGTATCACATCTTCCTTTCTGTGGCACAGTATTGGACGAAAGAAGCATTGACCCTTAGTGTACAAGGTGCTTCACCCAACTTGCATGTACCGAATTACGAGAAAAATCTTTTACACGAAACTTTGATTGAGAGAAACACATGTTGTTTTCTTGTTGATGGCAACTTCGAATACTGCACAGGCGCGTAGTACGTATAGCGCATGCACATGATACACGCATATCGGTAGTATATTTAACGTAACGTGAAATATTTGCGAATAATTGTTTGAACTTTCTCGAATGCTAAAGAACTGACGTATTAATATTAATTATAATATAACAGCAATTGAACAATACTGTTCTAATTGCATACGTTTAAAATATTGCTCGAATTAAGTGATTATTTGGAAGAAGTTATAGAATGTTTTCTTGAATAACGCGAAGAGTATATACTGCCGCTGCGCAGGCGCATAGTATGTACAGCGCATGCGCATAATACATCTTCCTTATATTAATAGTGTATCTATTATAATATGTATAACGTAAAACATTTACATATTGCAGTCACTATATTGCTTACAATAATTGTTTTAACTTTCTTATATGGTACAGAATTGATGCAAGTATTGTTCTAATTGCTTATGTTTCAAATTTTGCTTGAACTAAAATAATTATTGAGAAGAAGTAATAGAATGTTTTCTTGAATAAGACGTAGTGTATGCATTCTCACTGCGCATACGCGTAGTAGACTTAGCTCATGCGCATGACACACACCTTCCTTATGAGGTCTTCTATTATATTCTTCTTCTCAAATATTACAATATTCAGAAAAAATCAATATTTGTTACTAAATACGACTGTTATTAAACAATTACATTCATACACGTCCCTATAATATAATAACCTAAAATATACCGAATTAGAATTATCTGCTGGTGAAACTGAAAAGCTCCGATTCCGCGTCTTTC